ATAAAATGATTACAAAGCAAGTAGACTACCAACTACCTTACTACATTACTTGTTGTATACATAATCTTAGAAATCAAACTAAACTAGTCTAACTAAACAAAATATAAGTTAGACAATGTAACACAAAAACATGTGACATGTGACATAGAGTCAACAATAGTGTCACCCATAATTCATCAATTTCCCTCACAGTAATTTGAAATTATGAAAATGCCACTGCATAACACGTCTAAGCAATAATTCCTCAAGTAAATGAACTTCAAAGATCCAAAACTTAGAAGTTTCTCAATGTCTCTTGAAATTCCCAATTAGCAGTTCCCAGAAACTCCTATTGTAAGTACTGACCCATTATGAACTCACAAAACACTTTATGCGTGACTTCAATAATCTTGCTGAAGTCTCCTTGCACGTTTATCATGTGGCCAATGTTACCCAGGACACTGTCCACAACTTACTAACGTCCTCGTTGACATGTAGTGTGTATGAAGGCTTGAGAAGTGCCAACTTCTCTAAATTAAATAGTCTATTGGCACCGTTTTTACAGTTCTTCTTTAGATGTGCATCTAGAATAAAACTCTGTACTCCTGCATGAGGATCTTAACTTGAGGCTCCCTATTTGAGTTTGAACTTATGTCGCTTTTAGCTTCAATGAAGAGCAATCCCACAGGTCAGCCTAGCATGCTATTGCTGTAGGTCAACTCTAATAGAAGCCTAAACTTCTCGATTACTAATGCAAGGCCCTATCACAAGATAACTAAGATGTCCTTTATTTGAACTTTGAAGTTCAAGCCTGAGGCCAAACTCAAATATTTATTGATTAACTTCGCTAAAGCTTGGATCTCTCTAGGTTGTCTCCTTCAATTCTTCAAGGATGCCAAAGCTCGCAACTAATTCGTAAGACAACTGGCTGGCTTGACCTACAAGACCGATCACAATGAAGTCTTAGGGCTAGACAGGTGCAAGCTATGGGAAAATTTCAAGGAACATAGATTGTTGTCTCAACCTTGATATTCTCATAGAAAGAGAGAAAAATGTGTGAGCTAGTTGCTCTTATATTAGTAAGTATCTCAGATACTTAATGGAGGAGAGATGTTATGCTTAAGAAACATTTTTGTGTATTCATATATTATCGCTGGGCCCAGTCAACAAGTCTGTATCACAAGAAATGAGTGAAATTGTTTTCCTGTAATTGTTCATAACTTTTTCCCAAGGATATTGGATCTGATAAGAAAAACTTTTATTAATTTCTACATTGCTTGCTTCCTGCCTGTCCATGAGTAATCAAAGACATTTCCTTGAATTAAAGGAATGCAGATGCTTGGTAGTTCAATATTACAATTTCTGTTACTAGAAATGAAAAGTTTTTATGCATTATATATTATAAGGGAAGCACCTCTTTGGATTCTCAGCGTCCTCCAATGTGTAGGAGTGGGGGAGTAAACTGAATATACATGTGGCAGCTGAAAATATTTTGCAGTCGACTGCAAGACATGGTTATATGTGACTTGCAAATTCTTAAAAAAACTAAGGCTATAATTTCTCAAGTAGTGTCCAAATATCATTCTAAAATGCTCGAAGTGTTATCCTGTTTTATCTCTTACATTATTAATTTTTCAACTGAATTTTAAGTTCTATATATGACTGGTTTAGGAATTTCAGTGATTGCTAGTCGCTACCTCACTAGGTGGTTCTGTTTTATCACTTGCAATATTTGAATTTCAATGGTCATAACTTGATTTGTTAAATATCACTACAAATTGTGGTATTTGCTGTTCAATCATTTGACCCCTTATCTCAAGATCTGGAGAAGTGTTTACTGCATTGTTATCCTTCATCTTTTGTTTCTTTTTTTTCCTGAAGAAAAATTGTCACGTATCATTATAGGCATACAAAAGTACTTGATTCATGTTTGAAGAAGAGATGGTGCATAACTTCAGTTGTGTGATGAACCAGGTTGCAATAAACCAAGCTATACTAGAAGCAGAAGAGGATGAGGATGAAGTTAACATTCCTTCAGAAAACGAACCTGTACCACCACGCATCCGCAATCGGCCCAAACGAGAAGTTGAGCCTTCATCTACGTAATTTTGCTTTTTGGTTGGGAGTTAAAAAGAAGAGACGACAAAACATATATGTAAGACAATTGTTGTACTTCCTTACCTTTGGAATACTTGCTATAGCCATTTCTAATATTGTATGTTTTCATATTCCAAAAATCAAGAAATAATGCCACGAGTAATTATCTAAGAAATACCAGTTTATCTCATCTTGGTTCTTTCTCTTTTTCCTTCTTAGTCATGGAAGTCTATATTTTAGTGGTATGCACATATTCCCTTTTACAAAATATTTAGTGGTAAATTTTTTCTCCTTATTGGCAATTCTTATTTAAGGTAAATAGGATAAGAAATCAGGCATGATATTAGTCTGGTTTAGTTTATTTTAGCTGATTTAGTCATAGAACCGCCTAATCACAATGTGAAACATGCTGCTGTGTTCCTCATTGTTACCTTGGAAGATGTCGAGAGCTCAGAGGCTTACTTTTCTGCTCTTCAAAATCTAGCCTAACATCTGGAAGGACTATTTATCGACACTCAACAAGTCTGGAAACAAACGTATTTATGGAAAAAGCTAACAATTTCATGGATACCAGTGACGAGAAGCACAACTAATTTTAGATCAGGCTTGCTTGAACGACTTATTGATGATAACCAGATGAAAGAGAAAATAAATCAAATCTAAGTTTCCATTCCCCCTCTGCTCTACGGTTCTACAGGCGGATTAGGTAAAATATATGTATTTGTTTCGCGCGTTTTCGCTCGCTAACAATTAAAAAGGGATCAGTCGATTGTGTAAGAGACAAACCTCTTGGAACAAAGTCCCCAAAAAGGAGTGTTTATTGAATATGAAGCTACAGTTTAGACACGAACAAGATGCCTCCAAGGGGCGCAAACACACAAGTACAAGGGAATTGAAATAATTAAAGTTAATCTAAGAAAAAGTAAATTACATATTCTCTGTTTGAGAGTGAATTTTGTCGGGGTTATCTTCGTTGCCTTCTTCTTTCTTTTATACGG